TGGGGAATGACTGGCTGGGAGGGATGGGGCTCAGCTGTGGGCTGCAGCCGCGGCCTGTGGGGCCAGGCCTGGGTTACAGGCAGTCCCCGGCCCTTCGCATCCTGTGGAAGTGACTGGACACGCCCTGTCATGGGAACATGGGCTCACACACACCGTGTGTCCAGGGCCTGGTTGGCTGCAGGTGGACAGGGATGAGGCAGGTCGGGGCCCAGTGAGATTGGGCTCAGGAACCAGGCCAAGCAGCTGGACTTTCTCCTTTGAGGGGACTGGTCGGCCGGCTCTGCTGCTCCACCCCCTCCTATCGGCTTTCACCCCCGATTTGCTGAGTCATGGGTGAGCCCTGGCTGCTCTGCAGGCTGCACAGGCACATCCTGAGCCCTTTGTTCTGCCCGGGGTCCCTCTGGGCAGCCCCTGGGCAGCGGGAGCCTCCCTGTGAGAAAGGAGACAGTCTGTACAGGCGGGGAGGGCCAAGGCCTCCTGTGTGGGCGGGAGGAAGGGAGGAAGGGAGGGCAGCAGAGCACAGGGTGGGAGGGAGAGCCAGGCTGCCTTCCAGCCCCGCCCCCCACAGCTGTGTGAGCGTGTGGCAGGGGCTTCAGCGCTGTGTGCCTCAGTTTCCCTCCTGATAAACGGTGAAAGCAGAACCTATCCTGTAGGCAGTTGTGTGGAGGCTGTAAACCTGTTTCACAACCTCTGATGCCTATAAGGCCCCTGGCACAGTGCAGAGTAACTGACTGAGAAAACACGGTTACAGGAAATTGTAAGCGTTAACTTGGCAGAAATGCCAGGGAAGCCTTGCCAGGATCCTGAACTTGGAGGGTCTGGAGTGGGGCTGGGTGAGCCCAGCAGACCCTGAGGTCTGGCCTTCCCTCCCTCCCCAGGGCCTGAAGAAGATCGCCGCCTACATGAAGACCAGCCGCTTCCTCCCCACACCCGTGTACTCCAAGGCTGCCATGTGGGGCAACAAGTAGTGCCCGTAAGTGCAGGACGCGGGAATGAGGAGCACCGGGGCCTGGAGGGCAGCTGGGCGTTCT